CACTATTAACTGTGGATATATATATAACTCTAGTTAGAAATAACCAACCACTATTAACTGTGGATATATATATAACTCTAGTTAGAAATAACCAACCACTATTAACTGTGGATATACATAACTCTAGTTAGAAATAACCAACCACTATTAACTGTGGATATATATATAACTCTGGTTAGAAATAACCATCCACTATTAACTGTGGATATATATAACTCTAGTTAGAAATAGCCAACCACTACTAAACAATAGTTAAATACAAAACAGCATTCACATTTGTTTTAACAAAATTTACAGAGACAGTTGGGGGTCATCTAATAATAAAATATGAATTATAGCTTTAAAAATGAAATAGCTCACTTGAGGTTTTCCTGAGGGAACAACAGGAGTTGTATCAACACCAAAGGAGAGATGTTTTAATCGTTTAGCTTGCTGTGATCCAAATTTTTCTTCGAGAGATGAAAGATCACACAGCTGAAGATCTCTGATCAAATTTATATTCATACTAGTGAGGTTTTTATAAGTTGCTGAACCAATGCCTGAGAATATGTCAACATAAAAATCAAACAATTTACTTGCATGCATATAGATAGAAAGCATACGACATCTCGTCAACAATACAAAACCACCAGTTAAAAATCTATTGTTATTATACCATAGAAAATAAATATAAAACTTAAGTTTTCACTCAGTTTACGTTACTTATCGATAAGTGGTTTGTGCTAAAGAAAGATATTACGAAGGTGTTTTAAATTAACACAGCTACACATAAAGTCATCAACAGTTACCTGGGATGTCTCTTACAGTATTCAGAGATTTCAACAGATCTTCAATCTGTTTTGGAAACAGAGTGGTTTGCTGGTTTGGCTTGTGAGAGCCGCACACCAGTTTTGCTAAAAGTTTGTTATGAGCAATTCCTGCACACGTCGTTAGACCTAATTCTGAGTAAATCCTGTCTCGCATTTCTTGAGCTATATGTGATGCTTCTTGAAGTCGAGAGTAACAACCACAGCTGCAAGATTTAGAGAGTACGCCACTTCCTGTATCGAACAGTATTTAATAAAACTTTTTAATGATACAGAAGTATTCACAAGTTATTAAAAGTGTCGTTATAAAACTATACAACCTTCGTAACAGTTGAAGAAAATAACCTTCATATTAACCTGTTTAATATCTGACAATCTATGAAGAAAATAACCTTCATATTAACCTGTTTAGTACCTTCATAGATTGTCAATGTACTAAACAGGTTAATATGAGGGTTATTCTCCAGGTTAATATGAAGGTTATTCTCTTCATAGATTGTCTGTACTAAATTCATAGATTGTCATGAGGGTTATTCTGTCAGGTACTAAACAGGTTAATAAAGGTTATTCTATTCATAGATTCATATTAATCTGTTTAGTACCTGACAATCTATGAATAGAATAACCCTCATATTAACCTGTTTAGTACATGATAATCTATGAAGAAATAATTTACCTTCCAAATAAATATGGCCACTAACTAATGATTCTGCACCATTACTGGTGAACTGGCTTGTTTGGTGGTCATGTACCAAACTTGTGATGTCAATAAAATTTTCATCAAACCCAAGACGCTCCACTAACGGTGAGAATTCTTGTAAAATTCCTACAAGAACACAGAGTCCTACTACATATCTGTTAATGTTATAACGCATAACAACAAAAAGGATCAGTTGATTTTAAAAATACCAAAGAGGGTAAAATTATGGAGAAGGATATCTTTAAAACAATATCGAAACGTTAAAGACAAACAACAATGAAAGTGAAGTACTACATTCGCTGAAATTATGGTTTTAATGAGATCCACAAACGGCTAAAAAAAAAACCAATATAATTTAAAAATACAGGAAGTTAAACATTTTGTATTTAAGAATCCCCCTGTGGTGATTATCTTAGAAATACTTGCACCTTTACTTTTTGAACAGCTCTTGTTTTTTGATAAACATATTTTAAATAATATATTAAAATACATAGGTGTGTGAAGTTGGAATTAACAAAGTAAATGTAAGCAGATTTTATTCAGAATTGACCTATAATTAAATGAAGTAAACAAGACAGTCAATCTTTGGGTTACGCTGGTGTAAAATTTTTAGAAAACACTTCAATACTTTGAAATATTTAATGATACCACCTGTATAAAACCAATTGTAGCAATGTAAGAGATTTTTCACGAAGGCTATAATATATCCTCTAGAGATCTGAATGTCACATTGACGTACACTGTATGATCTTCAGACCTCTTGAATTTCACTCACCTGTCACTCTATAGGAAACTTCTCTATATGCTGTTAGGTCTTCTCCAGATACCAGAACAAGCTGAGGACAAATTTGTATGGCATCTTTGACAAACATCAGTTTTTGAACTCCAAGTTCTCGTGCTACGTAGTTACAAGTAACTACCAAGTTTTTCTGCTTAATTCCTAAAATAAAACCAATACCAATATTCATCTGACTATTTCTAGTTTCCCAGGGTTTAGACCATTACCTAACGAGTCAATACTACAATCAACACATGCTTCTAGGACAGAAACTAGAAGGTAAATATAAACCAAACACAAACTTGAAACTGTCCTAGGTTCAAATTATAAACAATAATATCTTTTCAATACAAGGGAAACCTTTAGCAGACAAAAGTGGCTATCAACAATCTTGTTACACGACTAAACAGTTGTGTTATTTATTTCATCAAACCATAAGAATTATTAAACATCACATGACTAACCTAATGGTTTTGTTTTCAGTTCAGGATTTTTTATCATTTCAACCTGAGCGTAGAAACAATCAATATCAATGTGAACTATAACTCTTTCATGGGGCCTTCTGGAGGAAATCTGGGCCTTGACATCTGTGAAAATACCAATAAACACCGTATATTACAAAACATTCACATTACTTTCATTATATTATTATCTTATTATATGTATTTCTAAGTTCTTTTCAAGATCAGGAAATATAACCTTGTTTCTCGGATACCGTTTCTTATTCTATCAATCTACTCCAAAAACAATACAGAAAAAAACTGAAATCCAGCATGTACTATAAAATTATTTAAAACAAACTAATCTATTGACTTCACATTGATACTTAAGTAGTACTACTTTAATATTATGTTGTGAACCTGACTCCGAATGAACCAATAACTACAACAACAGAAGACATAGCACCGTTAGAAACAATATTAATCTACAAATAACCACAACAATAGAAGACATAGCACCATTACAAACAATATTAATCTACAAATAACCACAACAACAGAAGACATAGCACTGTTACAAACAATATTAACCTACAAATAACCACAACTACAGAAGACATAGCACCATTACAAACAATATTAATCTACAAATAACCACAACTACAGAAAACACAGCACTGTTACAAACAATATTAACCTACAAATAACCACAACTACAGAAGACATAGCACCATTACAAACAATATTAACCTACAAATAACCACAACAACAGAAAACACAGCACTGTTACAAACAATATTGATCTACAAATAACCACAACTACAGAAGACATAGCACCATTACAAACAATATTAACCTACAAATAACCACAACAACAGAAGACATAGCACCATTACAAACAATATTAACCTACAAATAACCACAACTACAGAAGACATAGCACCATTACAAACAATATTAATCTACAAATAACCACAACAGATAACACAGTACCGTTACAACTAGTATTAACCTACAAATAACCACAACAACAGAAGACATAGCACCATTACAAACAATATTAATCTACAAATAACCACAACAGATAACACAGTACCGTTACAACTAGTATTAACCTACAAATAACCACAACAACAGAAGACACAGTACTATTACAAACAATATTAACCTACAAATAACCACAACAACAGAAGACACAGCACCGTTACAACTAGTATTAATCTACAAATAACCACAACAGATAACACAGTACCGTTAAAAACAATATTAACCTACAAATAA